TGGGCTTACATATACCTGTATGTGGGTGGGCTTACGTATACCTGTATGTGGGTGGGCTCCTTTATGTTCATGCTATGCAAACTTTTCGTAATTGCTTCATGGAGACCAAAGTCTTCAAATTTTAAGCCACTTTGGAGTGCAGGGTTCTACAAAGTGAGATTATTTCAATAACACAATTTAATAAAAAAAAAGTTACATTTGTAAAGTGGTATGTACAAAGCAAATACATGACATTATCAATATCTTAATGCAGTTGGCTCTGCCATTCCACATTTTTTTCACAATTAACAGTAAAGTTCAACTTTTTTCTAGTGCTCCTTCATGTGTCTACTTGTTCACATTTATCGATCAGCTGTATTAATATAAGTTATTCTGTATATATCTCTTTATAAAAGTACTAGTATCAAACTTACTGGTCTTTTTCCATTTATGACAAAATAGTCACCCACAGACTTGTGATGCTTCCATCCGTGTGAAGCCAACAGTTCTGGTTTAAACTTTGAGAATGCCTCCCCAGTGTAGTGATTGTAGGCTTTTCTCTTGCACTTGATGATCAGGGACCCTTAGGCCTAAGTCTTAGATAAAAAAGAGGATATAGCTAGGCGATTGCAAGCCATGTGAGTATGGCAGTGGGAATCAATTCCATGTACATTTACAGATAATTGTTTTCACTGATAATGATGAGATTTTTCTTCATCATTTAAGGTTCAAATTCAAATGTAATAGATACATACATGTATAATTCATAAATGCAGATACTCCATATATACATGGCCTCAAATAATATATCTAAAATAATAAATCATACAGTATGCACAGGGGTAAATATGGATTTAAAACAATAGGATCATGTTAGTTTCATACTGAAATACCAGTATGAATATATGTATGGATTCTCTTCAACAACCTACATTGCTTACTTTTCGTTCATTTTTTCAATCCGCTCTACTTCCTTTCTAATCAGAGCTTTCTGGATCTTCTTCACCAAAGGCTGTGGGACAGTGATGGTGGGAGAAGGTTCTTCATTGGAGAAGTATGCCTGAAAATGAAGTGACATTAAATGTCCCTAAACTGTAATGTGTAAGACACGCTAAGTACTGTAAGTGTAAAATGGAGCAACGTTTTTTGGAGTTAGGAGCCGTAGATTCTACTACAAGTAAGAGTGAACTAATCTTTAACAAAAAGATAATGCAAAACAGCTACGTTAGAGTTAAGNTAAACATTCCAAATCATTCCTAATCTTTAACAAAAAGATTATGCAAAACAGCTACGTTATAGTTAAGTAAATCAGGCTTACCATACACCGTCTGCACAACGAAAAATGAATAGGAGAGTGTAAACGAAGAACTGCTTCACGTCCGAACATCGTGTTAGGTTGCAGTATCGACATCAATTACTTACCCTTTTGACATTTTGATTTCCGCTTCCGTTTATTAGATGGGATGTGATATGTGAGGATTATTTTTGAAATTTATTTGCCATGGGTACTAATTTACCCAATATTTTTGCCCCAAAGATTGCAACATTCGTAGAATCTCTCCTGACTGAAGGAAAAGTTGGAATATGTGCTGGGTCTGTGCGGGTAACAGACATAAAATCAGGGTAAGAAAATCTATCTGTCCAAGGGAGACTGAGATACATCACATCCTTTCAATTTTTGTCAATCATTATGATGTCTTTGTCACTGCGTCACTGACTGGCATTAATTGATACATTTCAGACACCGTGAGCTCCAATATATGTTAACCATGTGCTTGACTAATTTTCTGAATAAAAGAAATCACGTATGTAAACCCTAGGTAATGAAAAACATTTTTGAATAATTTCTTTTTTAAAATTTCATCCTGACTGCTACGCCTTTTTCTTCAAGGGCTCCATCTCTGACCAACATACCATGTGGTGATAGATTTAAAGTGGTTATTCCCTATGCTGGAAATTCTCTCACGTGTGAGTATGGAGCATCAAATATTATCACATATAGCATATCAGAAAAGGTAAATGGGAGTGCTAACACATGAAAGATATAGGTGCACACAACCGTATAATGATGGTCAGCTAGTGGCTCTGCCCAGATACCTGCCCAATATTTTGCTTACCTGTGACCTCAAGTCTCACATTTCTGTAAAGGGAACCAGTTTTGGAGGAGAACGAGGTAAAAATTACATGGCTGTACATGTTACTTTATTTAAGGGGAGATTATATTCAACAGTTGTTCTCCAGATGATCCACCAGATTTCCTTTTTAGTGCAGAAGACAAGGACTTTTGGCCACAAATTGAAAATATAAGTGTAAGTTGATATACAGAGATGAAGTGTAGATTTTATGCTCTCCTTAAAAAAGTTTATCTTTAGAAGTAGTATTTAAAGTTTAACTTAATTTTAGAAGTTTTGATAGTTGATAACTTCAGTAACCACATGTATATTTCACATTTATATTGTATGTTATTGTTCAGTTTCCCACTATATATGTTACTGAGCATATTAAATGACTAATGGCTATTCACAAATACATGTATATGGTACAGAACAAGCACCTTAATTTATTTTTAGTTTTTAACCTTGGTAAATGAATCTATTTCTAGAATTTATTTTCTAAAGACTGAGTTTCTTATCTCTTCTCCAATTTCAGCATTTAGCCAATTGGGACAATACAAATCCCAGGTCTCTTTTTCTGGTCATACAAGAACTGTTGGAAGAATACAAAAAATATCACCAGTCTCTGAAGGATGAGAATGCCAGACTGCAGTGGGAATATAATGCTTTGATGGAGCAGGATAACTTTAGTCCAGAGAATGTGGAAGTTTGGGTCAATAAAAAGGGCAATGTAAGTGTCGTGGATTAAAGGGATAATAACTCTTCGTATGAAATCTATATTTCACAATAAAAACATTGTGAATAACTCATAGAAATATAATATATTCTGTTTTACGACGAAAACAGCAGTTAAAGCTATTATTCTGATATCTGAGCTTGTCTTCAGATCACGTGACCTCCATTGATGGCTATACTCTGTTATAATCTCTTAAGAGATTTTAACAAAAAACCAAACTTTTTAGAAAAAAACCAGGGACTAATTTGAATGTAAAAATGGATTCATTAACCATTGGTAAGCAAGGGAAAATTGTTGTTCACTCCAGGAAAATTCATTTTTTGGCCAAAACGAAGAGTTATTATCCCTTTAAATGTGTCAGCTGTGTTAATTATACATATGAAAATTATCATTTGTGTAATTTCAGTAGAAATACTGAATAGTTCTTTTGTTGATAGCTTTTGTTACCAACATGTCACAATGAGGGTACTGTTGTTATATTTATTTTTCCCTTTTGAAGTCTGACTGCAAGCAGACAAAATAATGGATGTTTAAGTAGTGGTTTATTCTCAGGCTGTCGACATTCAAGAACTGCTACATTTCTATCTAAGTTAAGTTGATATGTTTCATTATCTTGCACCACATTAAAAAAAATACCACCAACTTAATATCACTTAATTTACTTTGATTCATGTATGAAGAGTATTAATGCAAATTATATAACCCTACTAACAGCACGATACTTATACCAGGAAAGTAAATTTAATGTGTTTTTTTTTTTTTTTCAGAAAAACTGTTGAATTATATAAAATGCATGTTTATGCTGTAATCCTTATATATTTCAGAGACTAGGCCCTATCAATTTTCTGATGAGGTTGGATGTAGATTTCTCCAAAATACCACCCTACCTTATAGGAGTATGTATATATTTATGTTATGAAGCATGATTGCTAAATGCAAGCAAAATACACCTTACAAAGAATTGTTGATAAAATGATACCATCGTTCCTGTTGAAAACTTCATATATATCTAAAAACTCGTTATATTTTAATGTTATTTTAATAAATGTTCAGCATTTCAAAAGCCTTGGTCATATATTTTATTTAAGTGGTGTAGAGAAATTATGGGAAAGTGCTTTCAATTTATATTTGTGAGAAGACACAGATTACTATGTAATTGGAGAGGTGTGCATAACTTTAACTTGATATCTAAGAGTTGTGGTTGTTCACCAGGTGATATGGAACTCACATTATTCAAGTTGATTATCTTGGAGAGGTTCAGTAACACTATACAGTACATACTGGTTTTTGGAGTTTCTGAGAATAATATTACTGTCAAGTTTGTTCAATTTGACATGATAATATCCACTTCCAGTGCAGTCCTGGTGAAGACTCTGCAGTCCTATTGGTAACATTCCAGTACCCAGACGGAGGGAAAGTCTTACCACAGTTGTACTTGTCACCCAGAGTGGAACAGTAAGTAACTCAGTTGAATTAATAAATAAGTAAATTGAATTAATTTATTATACAATTTTATGGTTCACAAGTCATAGTTTAACTTGACTTTTGAAGTAAATATTGTGCTTGGAATAATAGGATTAAAGAAGAAATTGATTATTTTGAACGCAAACATTTTAATGATATTTTGAAAGTTCTTACAACATTTATATTTCATCAGTTTTTACTGCATTACCTGATTGAGTTTGATATATAAATATCTCTAAGTTATTTATATATTTCCAGTGCCCTAGGTGGTGCAGCTAACCTTAGAATTCCTGCTTTCCCCAGTGGAGGTTGCCTGATAGATTATGTGCCAAATGTTAGAGAGTTGCTGAAAAATAAGGTATTATAAATAACTTATCTGAAGATCTATTCAAATTTAAGCATTTCCACAATATGACCACTTACACCAGAATAAGTACTGGAGATATGGCAATTGCTGGAGATAAAAATAAAGAAAAGTTTTGTTTTCCAGGTTGATCAGATTGTACAAGGACATGACAGAAGGAAAGAATATGTAGCAGCTTGCCTTAGTGCATTTGGGAGGTATATTACCAGGGAAATTGTTCATTTGAAAACATGTACTTTTTATCTTAGAGTCTGTGCTTGCACAAATTTGGTTGGTTGTGTAACCATGTTAAAACTAAGGCAAATATCCTTTATATTTGTTGAAACAAACCTCAAGGTTTTACCTTCATGAAGTTGTAATGTATGTGTACATCCATGTGTATTATTGGTGACATTGTATTTTTCAGGTCAATTATAGAATATGATGCTGAAAGCTTTTTCAAGATTTCATTTCTACTGGAATGGAATGATTTCTTTTTCATAGTGCACAGTAAGCTCATCCCTTATCATTTACGTAATTATAATAGTTATTATTTGCCATAAGTGAGTGACTTTGGTAATTGTTTAAGAAAAAAATGAACTTTGTGTTATAGATTCCCTGTTTACAAAGAGGAAAAAATCTTTAAATTGTGTAATCCATAATAGAAATGTATACTTACATCCAGGTCACCATCATGTATTTATTATCCTTGACACTGAATCTTACAGTTAGGGTGATACATTTTACAGTAAAAATGATAATAGTGAAAGCAATGATAATTGTAAAGTTGTGTGTTTATGGAATTGGGCAGTTTGGCTAGCAGATACTTGTATGGATTTCTGTCCCTTATACTTCTGTTTTCAGTCGAGTTACCCCTGTACTTCCCAGTGGACAGTCCCTCTCTCACTGTACAGTCAGTCTACCATGAGTCCGGGGGAAGACCATACAGTAAAGTGACCAGGGAGTACCCCTATAGTCCAAGGTGGTCTGGGAATGAAATGGTAGAAAGAGTCAGGTAAGATTCATATTGCATTATTCTTTCATTTGCAGAAATTATAATTTTTGTTTTCTTGTATTTGAAAAAAATGAGGTTTTACTAAAAGAAATGTGTTTGTGCTTTAGCATGTTTCTACTGTACTAGCTGCCATGATTGTACAATGTATTGATGCTAGTTGAGTATGATGATGATGATGATGATGCTCAGTATTCAGCTGCTGTAGTTATAGGAGCATCTTACTGTTGCAAATAGCCTTTTTTCAGTTAAAACCACTGTACATAATCTGTGGTGAGCATCCTTATCTCTAGGAGTATCTTACAATTTCTTAACAATAACATTATTAGACCAGCATCTTTCAGGTCTGTCTGTTCCCAGTAGTTTGGTGCAGTACCCATCTTAACAGTACATGTGCAAACATAGACTACCTAAATTAGACTGCCTCTGTGGAAAGTGGGGTGGTATTGTGTATTTTTTGTAGTCATGTTTGAAGTAAGACAATGATATCCGTATATTTGACCATGATGTCCTGGAATTGTGCATAGGTGTTTGCAATGATGGGCATTGAAATTATCCATGGTAACTTTTACAGCCTCCAATCAGTTTAATAGTTGTACATTTGTATAGCATTATTTACTAGATATAATATTCATTTAATTTCAGAACATATCTGCTTGAAAATATTGCAGCTTTTCAAAGGGCTTCAGTACAGAATGGCAGTCTTTCATGACTGAGATGGACTGAAGTTGGCAAGTTCTTCCTGCCTCTATAAAAAATAAACCTGCATTTGCCTTTGCCATTGAATGGCAGTTTGAGACAGCATTACTGGCGGTTCTATCTGGTGTGAACNAAAGTCATATACTGGCAATCTAAATGTGACCTTGAAATTGACTTTTGACCTACTTTTTATCATGAACTGAACTCTGCTAATTTCTTTCTCTTTTAACTTCAAACTTGAACTTTAACTTCAAACTTCAAACTTCAAACAGAGATAGGTCCATAAATACTCTTGAACTTGAATAGGAAGTCATATACTGGCAATTTACTGTGACCTTGAAATTGACCCTTAACCTACCTTATGAAGAACTTAAATTTGATTGTACCATATATGTTTTTTGCAATAGTTTAAAAATTCTTGTTGATTGCATTTTTACAGCTTGTCAAGCACAAAACTGGTGGCTGTGTCCCTTATTTTGTGTATGTGGGGGTCTATACGAATGCGCTTGCTCCAGCTGGTGGTACAATATTCGGAGGCAGTATCGCCTCTCTGATCCTCTAGTTTTACATTTTCTTTTAAAATAAAATATAAAATATATATCAAACTCAAAGATTAAAAGTTTGAATAGCAGCTTCATTGGAATTATATTTACCTTTGCCAAGGAGGTTATGTTTTCACCCCTATTTGTCTGTCATCAACATAACTCAAAAATTTATGGACTGATTTTGATGAAATTTTCAGGAACTGTCAGAAGTGGGTCAAGGAGGACAAAGATTAGTTTTTGGTGGTTGTTCGGATCAATAATCAATCAATAATCAATAATAATCAAAAATTGCTGCCTTGGCAGAAGTCTGCGCTCTTGGAGTGCTTTTCTAGTTTTGTTATGTTTTCCTTTTTATGTACAGACACAGATGTGTCTGTACATATAGCCATCATCTGCGTCTGTCGTCGCCGTCGTCGCCGTGCACTTTTACCGATAACACAATAAGTGGAAAACTGTTTTTTATTTCAGCTTGAAACTTACAGAATTGATGAATATATATAATATGCAGATCAAGTTCGAAAATCAGCATGATCGGGTCACTTGTAGGGAAGTTATGCTGTTTTTTCACTTTTTTCAGCATATATGCAGCACCGATAACACGATAAGTGGAAAACCATTTTACCTTTTGGTTTGAAACTTACTTACAATACTGATGAATATTCATAATACGCAGGTCAAGTTCGAAAATCAGCATGATTGGGCCATTTTTTGGGAAGTTATGCTGTTTTTTCACTTTTTTCAGCATATATGCAGCACCGATAACATGATAAGTGGAAAACCATTTCACCTTTTGGCTTGAAACTTACAGAACTGATGAATATTAATAATACGCAGGTCAAGTTCGAAAACTGGCATGATTGGACTATTTATAAATTTAAAGTTATGCTGTTTTTTCCATTATTAAGCATATATGCAACACTAATAATGCATTTAAAGAAAATCAATCAGCCTTTTGTCTTGAAGCTCACAAGAGTGATTAGTCTGACTAGTATACAGATCAAGTTTGAAAATAAGCTTGATCAGTCAAGCTTGGATGAAGTTATTAGCTTTTTTGTATGTAAGTGGTTTTTCTTCATATTTAATTCTTAAGCATGTTAACAGTCTCTTTATGGAACTAATTAGATATGTAAAAGTGTTGTTTTAACATTTTCTGCTTCTTAACAAAATTGTTAGTTAATTATATAAAAATGACGGTACACCTTTTATTGTGCATTGTGTAATAAAGTGTCAAAAATGGAAAGGAATATCATTGCAGTTTGTCATATTCAATCATTCACTAAGTTAAGAATCTCAGAATGGAGCAAGTTGGACATTTTAGATTTGTTCTATTGATATTCCTTTGACAACATATTTTTTGATTGATCATATAAAAATGACAGTAAATCAATTATTTTGTTTTATGTAAAAAAGGTGTTGAAAATGGAAATAAACTCTTTTCAATACAGTTTTCTCTTGTTTAGATTTTGGGATTTTCAAAGTGTGAGTCTGAACTCTATGGGCTAGACACATTTTCAGAATATCCATGATAGTTTTATTTTATCATTAAAAAACTGATGGTTATTATGCTGTTAAGGATTGTGTAATATTGCATCAAAATTGAACAAAACCCTATTCTGGGCACTGCCTCCGTAGTGACCATGAAAGGAAAACCATGTCACTTGCTCTTTTCACACTTAAAGGAAAGAAATGTAGGACTGAAATACAGCCTCAGTTGGAAAATCTGTCTCAATAGTTAATTTTCTGTAAGTAATAGTTTTTTTTTTTTTTCTGTGAAAATTTTTATCTTTCACATACTGGAATTTTCAATGTGGGACTTAGAGCTCCCTTGGGCATGAAGCCCAGTGGTAATCAAATTTTCTTAATGTACATGTTTTTAATAGTAGATATTTAAAAATTGATGGTATTTATACAGTCATTATGTAATGTTGCATCAAAATTGACAAAAAACCTACTTTGTGCACTGCCACCATTAACATTATGGAAAAAAAACTGTTACTTTCTATGTTTTCAAATACTCTTACAAGAAAGATTCTTAGGATTGACGTACAGCTCATATTAGAAAACCAGCTCTATTACATTATCATTTTTATTAAATTTATGCATTTTTTGTGAAATTTTCATTTTTCTCATTCTGGCACTTTGTAAGTATAAACTTGAACTCTAATGGGCCTGAAGCCTTTTGCTTTTACTTTCGTTGGTGTTACCTGTTGTGCATAATTAAAATTTGATGTTGACTGTGCAGTTAAACATAATGTATTATTGCATCAGAATTGTTAGTCTCCTATTTTGTGCATTATTGTTTTGTCCTTTTTTTTAAGGTGTGACATATGGGCCTGAAGACCTTTGAGAGGGTCAGTCTGTAAATTTCCCTTGGGTATCACTAGGCTAATTCCAGTCATTTGCCAAATTAATAGGCCATTAAATGAGATTACATAAAGCACACTTGTTGATATTTCCCTGTAAACTCCCAAAGGTTAAGCTCTCTGCTAGATTAATTATAACGAAGCAGTGATAATCATGCAGGTAAATTTTGTTTAATATTGCAATTAAGTTTTTAATATATATATATATATATATATATATATAAGATCAATAATCTATCAATAATAATAATAAATTGCTGCCTTGGCAGAGGTCTGCGCTCTCAGAGTGCTTTTCTAGTTTTGTTATGTTTTCCTTATTAATTTTTCTCAAACACTGTCATTTGTGCATTTTAACTCCCATCTGCCTGAGGCTTTGCACGTTTTCTGTATTTCCACATAAGCAGTTGTATTGGTTTTTATGTCTTTAAACATTATGTAATATTATTTTATGCACTGTCATCATTTTTCAAATATTGGGACTTTCATCATGTGAATTTGAACTCACATGGTCCTGAAACTGTAATCTTATTGAAGGGATGGATTGAGACCATCTTTTGGGTCTTCTGGAAGACGGTCAGGTTTTTAAGTTTATATTGACTGGTATCTATTTTTTTTCTGTTGGAAGACCATCAAAATGGAGGATGGATCAACATAGATACTTTGGAATACTNTGAGATTTTCTTTGTGAAATATGTATTGGTTTTAGAATAAATAATCATTATGAGGTCATACTGGCATGCATGCACACATCTGAAATTGGCTTTGTCATTTATTCCAATGCTTTACAGAGTGTATATAAATACTGCAGAATTTTTCCAGGCAAATAACTGGATGATTTGCAGTCAAACTTTTATTGTGATAAATCAGTGATAAATTCAGTCGAACATTGTTAACATATTTTTTGCCAATTTGATTTTAGATTATGTAAGGAAATAGACTTGAATTAATTGTGCTAGAGTAAACATATACTGTGAGTAATGTTAATTAAACCTCTAGGGCAGAGAGTGTGATGGCCCAGAGACAGGCAGCTGCAGGCAAAAAGTTTGATTTAGCAAAATGGAAGTATGCAGAGCTCAGAGATGCTATCAACACCTCATGTGGTAAGACAGATCTTTAGAGGTTGAGAAATTGGTTAATGAACTGGGCAGGATTTTATTGTTTCATTGACTCTCATTTTATTTCAAATTCATTTCTTTGAAATAATGTAAGAATTAATTGTTTTCCCCACTGGGAACTAGTTTTCCATGCAGTCTAGCAATAAGTTAACATTTTGAAGGCTATACGAGATATTTCTGAAATATTTTTAACAACAATTCCATGTTCTTAATCAAAGGAGTTTACCTTTCATTGCCAGATGTTGAACTGCTAGAGGCTTGTCGTGAGGAGTTTCACAGAAGGCTAAAAGTTTATCATGCCTGGAAATCCAAGAATAAGAAGCGCAATGTTAATGAACGCCAAACCAAGCAACCGGAATCGAATGAGGAGAGGGCGCCACAGTATGTCATGGAACAAGGTCAGTCTTAAGTAAATGAATGGTTTAAATATGAAAACTCTCACTGTGGAAATTATAACACATTTTAATGTCTGTTAATTATTATTTAGATTTTATTTATAAAAGTGTATCATTTATTCAAGTTGTGTTAATGTGTCATTTTGATTTGCTGTTTATTTTAAAATTTAATTTCAGAATAATAGATTAAGCATAATTATGTGCGTGCATTTTTCCAACAGTTGTATTTTGTATTTAAAATGTGTCCACAGTATTTTGAATTTTGTTGCACTCATTTTGATGATTTTTATTTAATTTTTGAAAATGAGTTTAAATCATTAATTAATCATTATGCAACATATTTGTTCAATTGTTTGTTTAAATGAATGTTGACAATATAACTTGAAAATATGAATGATTCATCCTGCAATGTTTACTGGTTAACAGCTGTGTTGTCCTTATCCATCAAATGGTATGTTGAATATTCTATTAACTCTACTAGAGGTTGATATATGAGATTAATACATTTTCTTATGTGTGTTTAAATATTTTGTGAATAAAAATTGCAGTATTAAATTGCTTTTTTTATGTGCAATGGCATTTGATGGATAATACACAAACCATGTTTATTAACATGCATGAAAATTTTGTGCATAATTTTCTGCTTTTACTTATTATGATACAATTTAGAGCTACTGCTGCTACTTTATGATAATTGCTTTGCTAGCTACAGTTATCTGTTCATCTTATTGCATTAGACCAATATTTGATATATTATTTAATATTTTAACCAGCAGTATTGCTTGGTGCAGGTGTGACTTATAAAAAAATGATTTATAGCAAAGCCAAAGTTAAAAGTGTTTATTCTGTTGTGCAGCAATTTTACTAAAAAGTTTATTTTGAGAAATGAAATCAGAAACTGTCTATTACTTACATTTTAGTAGTCTTTTTGCATGACAAAGAAGTACTTATTAACACTTGCAATTAAGGTGCCTATGAATCAAAGAACTGGTGACATTTTTTCATGAATTTAAATAAGTTTTGATTTTTAAAAATTAATCAGCAGTTTGAAATTACTTTTAAAAACCTCCCTCAAAAATTGCCTCAAAACCTCAGACCTATAACTTTTTTGTAATGTAGATAAAAGATTAATACTAAACTATAATCCTACTGATAAACACCTCACTGGCTGGACCAATACTAACACTACATTTACTTTTCTTATGATTTTTGCCAAAAAAACAAACATGTCTAAACAAATCTTAACTACAGCAGTTTAACATTCTTTTTTTATTGATTACAACTACTGTCACTGCTACTTACAGATTAATGACATTAAGCAGAAAACTGTTTTCAATATTTCTCTGTACAATTCTTTTCTTTAAAGATGGTGGCAACAAGCAGAAACAAACCAAAGGTATTCTACATTCTTCTTCATCTTCATTCTCATCAGTGTGAACATCATTTTTAAGCTTTTCAGTATGTTTTGCTTTGATTGAGATGTACCTGATGTGGGTGACTGTTGTTTTCTCTTTTCCTTTATTTGAAGTAAAATGATAGTGTATGATCTACTTTTAAAAGCTACATATTTTGAGGTGTTTTGCACTTCTTTTGTCTGTCAATATTTATTTTATTAATGATTGTTTGAAATGCATGGCGACATTTAGGAGATGCAAAGATTTAGAAGGCTTTGAGTATCATTTTTAGTTGTAGCTAGTCAAAAAGCCATTGGGGAAAAAGCTAGTTTTTAAGACCAACTGTTTAAAAAAGGATTTCATCAGCAAGGGATGTCTTCCCTGGTTTATTGCATGTCTGTTGTGATCACCCGTGTTTAAGAGCCCAACAAGGACTACATAATCTGTACATACATTTCAGTACAGGGAAGAAGGCTCCAGTAAGCTTCCAAACTGAGGTGTTCATGGAATCAAAATATATTTCTTGGAATGTGGCAAGGACCTAAGCTGGTATTTAATCAACAGTTGGCAAGTTATTCTGGGTCTCTTTTGTTATTATTCGGTGTGCTTTATGTGTGGAGGTCAGTATAGAATAGCAAATACAAAAATACATGTAACAATCATGGCTGAGTAGATCTTGTCCATATTTCAGCTGGTAATGCACCACCTGCAGTACCTCCGAGGAGTGCTCAGAAGGAAGAGGCTAGTCAGCGGTATTTCCGCATCCCATTTGTTCGTCCTTCTGATCAGCATAGAGATGGAGAGAACAAGAAGAAGGGTTGGTGGTTTGCACATTTTGATGGCAAATGGATTTCTAGACAGATGGAGCTTCACCCAGATAAACAACCAGTTTTGTTGTTAGCAGGTTAGTTTTGAAAGACATATTTTGACAGTGGGGATTGTTTTGTTAGTATTTTTGTAGGGTGCTTTTTAACTGTAAAAGTTTCAACAGCCTAGAATAGTTAATGATATCTTGATATATATTTTTAATTGCTTGTTGTTAGCTGAAGAATAATAGTATCAGTTACAAGCAGAGTCTTCCATAATATGTATGTATATGATCACCTTCATTAAATATCCTACTAAAGTGCCCAGACATTTGAAAGCGAGCAGTACAACTTTCAACTTTTAGTTGAACAAAAAGGTTAAACTCAAGTGTTTTATGTTGTAGCTGGGAGTCCGTAGTTATCACCATGTATTTTCTTTTCAGGTGTAGATGACATGCAAATGTGTGAGCTCAGTATGGAGGAAACTGGGCTAACTAGAAAAAGGGGAGCAGAAATTCTGGAACAAGAATTTGAGAGAGAATGGGCTAAAAATGGAGGGGATATGTACCTGAAAGCTAATGCTAACAAAGTTTCTTCTAAAAATTTACAACAGAAATTAGGCATAGTAGGAAAATAGGTGCCATTATATGGAATATGGTTAGATCCAGAGGCGAGGAGTCACAAAGCATGTAGAGCTTGAGTAGAATTGATATGTATCTTGTAGTTTGAGTCTTGTCTCTCATTTTCTTGTGTTCATTTCACATGTACTAGATGGTATTTATTGAAGCTTTTGACATGCATGAAGTGGCGTGTTAATTATTTTATGGACAGTGGTATTGAGTAGTTTCGTCAGTCACATTTATATTTGTAACTGTTTAACTGGAGACAAACAGGGATGAAAACTAGGGTTAAAAAGAATGAATAATGAGGTGGAAAAATGGGAAAGACAATCTTTTCACATAGACAAGGTAACAGAATGGTCATAGATATTATGAATGGCTTATATATTTTACATTGCAGTTTTATGAATACTTCAAGCTGTAGTCAGTTTTCTGCCATAAGATGAGACTATTTCAAGAAATTAACATTCTTTCCAGACGTGAATACTGTTGTGTACTCGGTGAGAATGAATGAATACCACTCGCATTAACTAGTGAGTTATAAACAACAGCAGCAGTGATATGGTCAGAAAAGTGGAGTTTTAGTTTGCAAAGCATTTTAGAAAGCCAGTGTTTTAAAATTGCTATTGGTGAATGAAAGCACATTAGGGACACTTTTTATATTTGCCTAGTGCTTTTTAGAATACAAAGTTAATGTATCAAACTTTTTAGTTACAAATACTCCATGCAATACATTATTTTTTGCTTTGATAAGGAATGATTCTTTGAAATTTTTCAGGGGTGTGGTCACTTGATTTTTAGAAAATTGATTCTAGTGTCAAACGCTTTGCTAGTTTTCTGTAATGTAAGGACAAACTAAAAAATTGCATTGATTTTAAACTTGAAAACTGTTTGAGTGTTATGCAACATCTCTATTTTTATAGAAATTATGCTTTAAAAAACTTACTTTAGGCAGTCCTCAATCTGCATGACAACTTGTGTACCTAATGTACCTTCAGAGCTCAAATGTAGAAAATGCAGTGATGCATATATATTGTACTTGTATGCACCATCTTTGACAGGTGGTGACATAAACTTGAACATGACAGATCTCAGCTCACGGTCAATATTATAACTGTGTAAAACAACTTAAATTATTTCCATCCAACATGATATGTCAGAAAAACAGCTGCAGTCGGAATTGAGGGTGTCTTTTCTTAGTCAGTATTATATTTGAAAAGCATTAAAATATTTGTGAAGAAGTTTGTGGTCGGTGTCGTTATGTTAAAATCTGGGATCATTTGTGTGTTTCACAATTATAGATTGAAGTTGTTCAGTTGAACAGTTGTGAGTTATTTTAATGTCTGTTGTGAAAGTGAGACAAACTTCATTTGACAGAATTTTAAATATGTGATTTATATATTTTAAAAGATGTTTCTCATATATTAATCGGACATTCCATTAATCAGAAATCAATTATGGGACCAATTATACGATTATGTTAAATCATAATTTTATGCGGACTCTACTTCAAGGATCAGTTGAAAATTGAATTATTAATTTTTTGGTTTTAAATGTGATATTTTTCAATTGAGCCGAAATTGGATAAAGGGATACAGGCAGATCATGAATGATTATTCTGATAATGCATTACCTTTAGCATTTACTTTTAAGTGGCATTTGCAAGTTTCTCTATGGTTAATAAAAACATTCTGTATATGAAAGGCCTATTGTAATAGCACATTCATGGGTCTTTTTGATTCAACTATTCCAATGAAAATAGCAAGGAAAGGGCAAGTTTGCTTACCTGTGTATTAATAGAAAAACTAAATTACTTTTCTTTAAATGTGTATTGTTATTTGTTGTCAGATATTTTTATTGGTTACCAGGGAACAATTTGAGTGGTTGTGAATGATATAAAACATTCCTAGTAGAGTGATATCACAATATTAAAATTTGTTTAATTTTGTAACTGCTACATCTTTAGTTCCCAATTCCCATACTATAAGAGGTCATTTAGTGCATTTGTTTTGCTCAGTATCAAGACTGTGACTGTATTAGATATTTTAGCAGCATAATGATGAAATCAGATATAATAGCATTGTAATAGATTTTTCTTTGATTTGTCAATCATTAAGGATGTGGTCAGAATCATTGGTAATAGATTTGAAAAAGATAGCATATAATGGAATCTTATTAAGCCTTTATAACTATCATTCTATATTCAATGATGGATGCACTTTCACCATTATTATCTAATGTAAAAGTCTACCCTAATAAGCATGCAAATATCACTGGGTAATGCAATGAATGTCAAGTGAGAATAAACATCTGTTGTTGAAAAAAAGTTGTTCATTTGTTCTTTGAGCATTGCCAGATAATCCATTTGATTGCATTGAAATGTTTAAATGAAATTGATGCAAATATTTTCCAGATAATTTCTCCTTGATTATATTATCTACCCAACAGGCCCTGCTTTCACAACAAACCAAATTATAAATTTTTTCAAGTATGATTTAGAGGCATGGAAATTTGTACCAGCCTGCCTGCTGCATAGTCCAAGAACAAATACAAGCAGTTCATGTCCACTAAGTTATTAATGGAAAGATTGTTTACTGAATTTTTGTGAGAAATCAAGCATTTTCATATTATTATGTCATCTCAATTTTCTTTTGTATTGGGTGAGGATCATGTTTAAGTCTCTAAAATTATACACTTAAACATTTTTGCTTGTACATGGGTGCCTTCCTTTACAATTTCACTTTTTGTTTAAGAGCAGCTTTCTATCAGTAAAAATCAATCCATTTAAAGGAGGTTGTATTGTAACATGCTTCTGAGATAAAGGTGCTGAATAATTGAGTGCGAAGGTAAATTAAGTCTACAACGACAAAAATAAACAAATAAATATATAAATAAATAAAAATGAAAAATAAAGAAGCTGAGAATTGACCCTTATAAGCTATAGTGATATATATCATGCTTATCATTAATCTTAATCATCATATAAACTTGACATTAATGATATCAAATGATATAGAAGATCTTTTTATCTATTCCCAAGCTGCTAGTACTAATGAATATAGATCTTATGCAAAATATTTTTATTTTGTCGTTTGGAACAGCACATTTTTGCCATCCACAGCTTCTTATAAAACCATCCACAAGTTCTTATAAACCTTCTGGAGTATACCTGACCCTGATACTTATAGGAAGATTGTCACTGGCTATAATGACTGGCCAGTTATTTTAAACAAAATCAAGCTTAATTAATTTAATTAAAGGTCGAATTCAAATGCAGAAAGGGATAGATAAATTATTCCTGAGGACGAGAAAATTGTTGATTTACTTGGGAAAAGCCATTTTAGCGATAAATCCCATGGAGTTGCCCTCGAACAGACAAGGGGTTTCCCCAAAAGGGTGAATTTCTGACGTCATAAATCACGTGATATATCGGCCATGTTTTGGAGGCTGCAAAGTTTGAGGCTAGATTCCCCAAAAAATTTCCCCTAAATGCACCGATTCTGATCCATTTAAAGGTAGGAATACAGTCCCAGACCAGTTGGACAGTACTGCTCATTGAATTCTGCGTCTGCATTTCTTCACAGACCAGTCATATCGGCGTAGTCTAGCGTTGCCAAGGCATGGCTTCCTCGGTCAACGGTCAAATCATCACAGCATGACCTCCCAGTACAGGTAAGCAGTTGGCGGCAGACGGTCCAGTTATGAACCAAGCCGCGTCGATAAAACATGATCAGCACACCTGTTTTCAGTGCAACGTTTTTATCTTTTTTTATTTATTTCAATGACCAGATGGGTATGGTAGTAATAAATGTGTCTTAACAGATTTCTTGCAGTGCACAATAATAATTGACGTTATTAGGTAATATTTATTGGTTTTATTACACATAATTGAGTTGTAAGGTTGTTTTTTCAATGGTTGAGAAATCTGTTGTACTTAAAAAGGTGCAGTGATTATTGAAAATCTAATGGATAAATTATGCAGAATTAACAGATAGATAAATCTTTGCAATCTTGCAAATGGAATGTATTGAAATATATTTGTTACCTTGAAGTAAATCTAACTGGTTGCATGATGCTTCTCTGTAACAGAGTATTTTCTGGCTTTTTTTAAGAATGGAAATATTCATAAACAGCACACATATTCAATATAGCCCCCAAAATTTAAAGTTTGTTATTATTACATGTAGATATATGTAGTACTTCTTTCTTTGTAATTTACTTATTCTCATTCAATTTTTCTGTTTTTCTGTGTATAATTACATATTTCACTTTTATTTAAAAACCTTTGCTCTTTGGTCAATTAATTATGCTTTGAATGTTGTGCCTGCACGTCAATCCTTATTTCAGATCTTCATTAGATGGCGGGTTAAGATCTAGATGCTGAAATGGACAGGTAAGTTTTTTTTTTTTCAACTCTGTTTTCTAACAGAAATATAGCAAGTATACTCTTTGCAGAAAATAATTGAAAGATTTTTAATTGGTTATTTGAAAGCTGCACCCAGTTTCTTGCCAGCATGTATGTTTTTCAGTTTTATAATGATAGGGTAAACATATGTTTGAAATTTAAGGCCAGATATCATATGTAAATTTACATAAACCCCAGCACTACTATGCATTATTGTAATTAATATTTATTAGAGTACATAATAGAGATGATGTCAAAATCCATAAGCAATACAATGTAACCTTGGCACCTAAGCCTCTGTGTTTGCATATTCATAGATTTTTATTTTCCTTTCGACCTTTTCCAATGTTAATTCAGACTTTTCAGGACAAAAGTAGTCAGAAGGGGTTATGATTCTGACCAACAATAGTTTTTGTTTACATAAGCCAGTGTACAAGAACTATTCAGACTTCTTACTGTTTGCTGTGTGTGTGCATGTATTTTGCTAGTGGGTCTGGGAGAGCAAATCAATAAGCAATGTCCAAGGTCAAAAGCTGGAGTTGGGATCTGTTGTTATAGAAAAGTAGAGTATATGGCATCCTTTATTTTCATAAAAGATCAATATATTCAGACGTTCTGTGAAATTCAAATCCTTCTAGCCGCCTTTTTCTGGTTTCAATTCCTGTTTCCTCTATATATTATGTAATATGATGGCTCTTTACTGAGTCCAACGTGCTGGACTCTATTCAGGAGAGAGACAACAACAATGCGTCTGACTTCTACGAAAGTTTATTATGAAGTGCTAGGCTTGTATATACATGTACATTAAAAAGTATGAGGAACACCTCTTTACTTTAACAATGGCTGGGAACTGTCATCACGTGTAATCTGTAGGTGACCAAGGGTCATTCAAAGAATGCCACTAATGGAAGCTTGTGAACTTTAATAACATTTACCAAAAAACAAGAAGATAATGTTACATCTCCCTTTCTTCAATCAAATGTCCTGGGTGTTAACAGTCATAGTCTTGGTGAAATATCCCTGCACTGGCAATATGTGCTTGTTAGTCCTGCCTGTCAGATATGTGTATCCAATAGTGAACATATACTGTCATTGAAAAAATTCTTGATAAAGTTCAGTTCATATCCTTTTGTCCAAGGGTAATTTCCTCTAAAGTCTTTTATATCACTTTGCAAAAGTTACATAGATTGTATAATTTTTTGTTTGCAAACTCTGCCAGCTCGTGTTACATAGGGGTGGGGTGAATGACATTCATCTTTCTGAGGGGTTGATTTTAGTTTAACTGGGGACTTAACTGGGGCATTTACAGCAGGCTCAGNTACTCAAATAAAACAAAGCTGAAATCACAGATTTCAAGAACAGAATAGCTTTAAAATAACCTGTCCACCAGAATAAAAAGGAACTTCTTCAAACAAGCATTATGCCTTAGAAGTATATGAAACAGTGCATGCAAGGCATGCAATATGGGCTCAAATTAAATGAATTTTTCTGACACATGTATCACATAGTTGGAAAAACTTTCACCACAACAAGCAACAGTATTAATTGAAAAAAAATACTCAATATATTATCTGATAAGATATATGTCAAATGATATGGCATGATGCAATTACTATGTTATAATTACAATAGATATTTATTAACTTACATCAGCATCCTCATGCTTGGCAACTCCCTGGCAGTAGAAAGGCTTCCCATTGATCAACAACTGGGTATTAGTCCATTCTACACTACGAATACCAAAGGGAAGACGATAAACATCTGCAATGTTCTTGGAGTCTTTGATTGCAACCTACAAAATTTAATCCTTTTGTTATATTTTCATGTGCATAAATTAACACAAAATGGCCACCCATTTCATAAAAATTCTGGCCATACAACTACAAAAAAAAAAAAAATCTATTTTTCAATCATAAAAAAATGTGTATGACAATATGCCATTCAAAAAGGTTTCTACCACCACAGAGAGAAAAAGATAATGATACTTTTTTACCAGTAACACATCTTTCTAAATTTAAAGCAAACATTCACCAAAGACATTTCTGAACTACCTTAAAAGTATACAAATAAGCTGAATCCTGGCCATTACTCGTATAAGGCCACCATAAATGAGGTTTTGGTATCATGATTTTTCCTCTGGGTTGGGAGCTACTTGCAACAGTCACTCCAGACTTATCAATGACATCAACTGTCAATGTAGCACCTGCTGTGTTTCCTTCAAGAGTTACATTATAGTCCACAACACCTGAAATATTGAAGTAAAATCAATAGACATGAGCCC